TGCCCCCCGTGTTGTGGATTGGTGCGAAAGTAAGGGGGTGTTTATTTTCAGGGACTTTTTGGTGTAGGGACTAGAAAAAGTCCCTCTTAGAGACTTTTTAACCAAACTGGAGGGACTACTAGGGACTAAAAGTTATTTTTTGGGACTAAATGAAGAAGACTCTCAAGGAGAGTCTTTTTTGGTATTTTTTGAGACTTTTCTAACAATGCCCCTCCCTGCACCCATTGCCCCGCCGCCCCATGGTGTTGTTTGGTTGTTATTTTTTTGTATACTAGGGGTAACATGATCATTTAATAACCTCTAGGGAGGGACTAGGACTTTTTAGTCCCTGAAAACAAACAAGAAGGGACTTTTTAGGGACTAAGGACTTTTTAGTTGGGACTAAAAAAAGTCTTAAGACTTATGAACCAAATAGGGCCTAAATATGTGGGCTAGCGTTGGAGATACCCAGAGACCATTAAATCCAGGTCAGGGTACCATGCATTCCAGGGCACGCTACATTTTAATTATGTGACCTGTTTCATGACTTCTAAACTGAAGGCATGTTTTTTATATCGCATCTGCTCCTCTATAGCAACTAAATTCTTTCTATTTTTCTGAGGAACGACAAGTAAAAATTTTGTTTGTGGAGTAGCAGTAGTGTAGTCCCAAATATAAGATGGGAAGGCCATCGCAGACCCAACATATTTGCCTGACCTTGCCGAATGCGGGAAGGCCATGAGGGCCCTCATTGGAGGCAGGGATGAAGGCACACATTTGCAGGGGTGGGGTTATGAAGACAGGAACAAGTGTCATCCTCTTCTCGCTTCGTTTGGGTGGAATGGAGACGGGCGGAGTAAGATGAAGCCATGACCGTTGTATTTCAATCCGATGGCCGATGCAAATCGATCGAAAAGTCTATAAAATCGAGCAAATAAAGGATAGGTAAGTACTCCCTCAATTTCTTTTTTCTCCGCATATAAAACTTGTCTAAAGCCGAATTTAATAAAAAAACTGACCAAATTTATATTAAAAATATTAGTATCCAAATTTATATTTAAAGACAACACAAAAATCACACAACATGAAAATTAATTTCATGATGCATCTAATAATAATAGATTTCGCAGTAGAAAAGCAACGAAGAGAAGGATGTTTACTTACATACACGCCTTTACTGCTACTCCGGGCCGAGAAGGATCCACAACTTCCCAATCTTCCACGAGTCCATGAAAAAGAAAATTCACGAGCATGTCGGGGGTTGGGGAAACGACGCCGATTGGGTCCTGTCCTGTCCTGTCAGTGCGTCGAGATCCATCTGTAGACGACGAATTCAGTAAAGTCGTCGACATGGCGTGTGCTTGTGTGTGCCCACGCCATCACCATCGGTAAAATGTATGTGATGCCGATCGATGGTGAGTGCTGCCTGCAATTGGTATCTCCCTCCCCGATCAATCGATCCATCCAGCACGCACGCATGGTATGGTAGCCAAGTTATCCAGCATGATGGATTGATTAAGGAAAGGAAGGCAGTAAACGTCCTTGCCCGTGGCGCCTTGAGACGTTAAATTCAGTTCAATAGACGGTTTTGCTGCACGCACGGATTGATTAGGCCAACTCCAACCGGCTGACGCAAATGAAAGTGGCTTTTATCCGTTTTTTGTCCATTTGAATCGGTTAGACGGACACGATTGTCCGTTTTGCGTCCGTCGGTAGGTGCATCTAATAGGCCCGACACACATCAAATGGTGGCCATATTAAAAATTTAAATTCAAACTAAAAAAGACAAAAATATAATTTAGACTTGGACTTATATATTACTTTCATTCCAAAAGTCTCGGCTGTACTCGCTGCCGTACGACAAACTGGAACTTAAACTGAAAAAACATTAAAGAAAACTAAAACTAAACCCTAGATTGGCCGTCATCGGCGTCCTGGCCATCTTCAGTCCCTGCCGTCGTCGCCGTCCTAATATTCTTTGTTGTCCTCCTCTGTGATATCGGCGAAAGGTGGTGGCTGCCGCAGCCCACAGGTGGGCGGGCTGCGGCTCCTCACACGCCGGGGAAGGTGACCACGGTTATGCGCCCGCCCAAGAGGGCGGGGTAGACATGTACTCTGGCGTGCAGGGCATCGTCGACGTCCACCTCCAAGACTGCCCCTGTAATGTCGGGTCCCAGGGCACTGTTGGCGGCTCCCAAATGACCATGTCCTTCGGCTCCGAGATGGCTACATCGCCTGCAGCCAACAAGGCGAGATACACCTCCAGGACGTCCGACTGGCTGCGCTTGTACTCGAGCTTGGAGTCCTCGAGGACCTTCTTCATGAGCCCGTCCTCCTCTCCGGCGCTGAGTGTTACGGGCAGTGGTGGCGGGGATGTCGAGGGCAAACGAGTGTGGCCGCGCGCACGCACATGTTTTGTGTGGGCTAGGAGCAGGCACACGGGGTGGTACTGCAGAGCGAGCATGCGAACGTGGCAGGCTCGAGCCCGAGTGGAAAAAAAAAGTTTACCACCACACGTCGTGCTCGTCCCGAACCACATGTCCAACATCGGTGAGTCGATGACAAACCTGGGGTTGTGGAGGGATCTAGAGGCAGTTGTGCTTGCGGCGCTTGACCTCCAAAAGACAGGCGCGACCGCTCGTCGGAATGGGTGGCATGAGTACACAATCCGGGTTCAGATGCCACACGTTTGCCAGGTGCGCGGCGAGCCACAGTAGTGGGGTGGCCGTGACCCAGTAACGGAGGCATACCTCCACCTTCACATAGGGTCTCTTGGCGGGGTGGTGGCCGGCGGTGAGATTAAGAAGCCGACGGCATTCCTCAGCCGCGCCAGCCAGAAGATGACCCGGCTTCATGGTCGTGCTTCCCGGACATCCCGGCGAGGGGTGGAGCTTGGGCGGCGCGGCCTAGGACTTGTCGGGCGCCCGTGGGGCATGGAAAGATTGTGGAAGGCGCCAGTCCACGCATCGTGGTAGCCATTAAAAGGACCTCGACAGTGGTGGCTGGGTGACTGACATGCGGGCCTGTCGACGAGCCCGAATAAAATGGGGCCAGTGGGAAGTGGTTGGATGGCTGACTGATGGGCCCGAGGGCTAGTGGCGGATGTAGATTTTGATGACAGGGGGTGCCAATCTTAGCATTTACAATATAAATGCTATTTACTTAGCATTGTCATACTTATAATACGCATAGCATCCGACTAACTCTACAAGGTAAAAATATATGCACTTTTGGAGGGGTGCCATGGTGGATGCGGAGACCAAGAGGACACACGGCCATTCGTCCAGTGTCCGTCCGACCGCAAATCCGGCTCAAATTTGTGTCGAAAATGTGCCCATGCGGACACTCGATGGACAAATGTCCGGTCAAGAGGCTGCGCGTTGGGCCGTGTTATTTATTCGTCTCGACCCAAATGGACAGGACGAACCAAACGCGATGATGGGTTGAATTTGGCCTTACTTCCCCGCAAAAAAGAAGGCCTTACTGCTGCAGGTAGAGCCATCTCGTCATGGCCTTTTTGTTGCTTGCTCGTGACTGCAAGCTGAACAACAGAATTTTCAATGTTACTACTAGGGACACTACCTTGGTGCATCCGTCCTCTCCACCGTGCATGCATACCGTGCCCGGTGGACGGATGCTGTAGCACGGGTGCTGTGGATGAGTCG